TTTCATCTATTTCCTCTTATTTCTTAAGAAACCAAACATAGTCTAAGAGTGTGATAAATGGAAGCTAACAATTAAGGGGGTTGGTTAAGGGTTAGAAAAGGTGATGAATCAGCCAAAATCAAAGTCCTAACCCAGACTTGGACGGTTGGACCAGCCACAGAACCGTTTATGTCACTAGATCACAGGTCTGACCGTCCGGTTCACTCATTCGATCCACTTGTTTAAAATTCAAAAACTATTAGAAACAGCTAGCAAAGGGTTTCAGATTATATTTTAAGGCATTTTTAATACTAAAACAGGCTTGAAACAATAAATATTACAAGTCAAAAAACTTATTTAGACATGTACTCAAAAGTAGGGTTAACTAAGTCAACATTAATTTCTAAGAACCAGGCAGCCTAAAAACCATATTTGGCTGCCGGTTCTGATTTGACGGTCCAACCAGCCGGCCTAGTCTGAATTGGACATTACTTGTTCTAATAGTCTTGCTGATGACTTCATCAATCAAACATAGAAGGCTTCTATAGAAACGATGAACAATAATTTTGTTGCAAAAATAAACAAATAAACAAAAGAAACTCTAAATACAAGAAATCTAAACAGCATTTTTGTCCACATGGCGCAACTAAGTTGCATGATTGATGTAGTCATATCACCTACATCAAACCTAATTTTTCCTATATTAATTTTTTAGAAACCTTATCTCCATACATAGAATGACCTAAAATTGGTGAAAAAAAAATATATATATATATAGAGAGAGAGAGAGAGAATTCATGTTATGATGTTAATTTGAAAACTAATCTGATATTGGTGCTCTTAACAACTGGAACCGTGGTCCCATGAAGCTATCACAAGTGAAGTGGCCTATTGGAGGTTGGCGGCCTTTAAATGAAAATCATGCAATTTCTTAGTTTGGTGCAACTTCTCTACTAAGGATTTTTTTTTAGTGGGTTTGAAAGCAATTTTTCTAGTTAACTTGGATTAGGAATTGGGTAGTCTATTCAAGCCTTTCATTAAAAGGTTTTTTCTAGCTAGTTTATAATCTTCATATAGTAGAAACTTGTAAAACCTGGCATCTGTTATCATCATATTCTACTACCAGAGAGAGAGAGAGAGAGAGAGAGAATGCAGGTGTATTGTCAAATTACCAAGCTAAGGCTTGTAAAGTGTTAGACCCAATAGGGTTGGTTCTAGGTCTAGTACAGTACTTACCAACCATATAGGATCTGCTTCAGGACCTGGTCTACCCTGACCCGGTCCAGACCTGATTCACTGACATAGTATCAATAAACCCTGAATTAATCCTAAAAAAAACCAAGCAAACTAACAAAGAGAAAACCCTTATTAAATACTCATAAAATAGGATAAACTTTGCCTTCTTCATGAGGAATATATCAAATTCAAAGGCGTCTTCATCTAACATTATTTATTGTTTTTTTTTTTTTTNCCCCCCCCCCACCCCAATTTGGTTGGGGGAGTCTTGTTTGCTAAGGGTTGTCTCTGTTGGATGATGTTGCTCCTCTTTTCTGGTGTTCTCAATTTTCTGCGCCATGTGTAGAGGTCTTAGAAGCGTTTTCTTCCAGTGTTAAAAATACTATTCTTCTTGTTTCAGCAATTTCGATTTGTTTCTTGGTGGAGAATTTTTCTCTATTTTCTTGTTCAGACTGGGTCTATTGCCTTTTACCTTCTTGCTGACTGTTTTTCTTGCATTGTACTCTCAGGATTTCTTAATGAATTTTTCCTTTTCAGGCTTTAAATAAATGTTACAATTTACTAAGTTTAATACAAATAAACTTAAGAAGAGTTCAAATAAATTAGTAACTATGCTCTTGATAATAGTGCAAATAGATAATAAATACATGAAAACACTAAGAAAATCACTACTAAAATAAAACCATTCAAAATCCAATATTTTACAAAATAAAATCATACTATAATGAAAAGGAGAGAAGATTATCTAATAACTAACCTAACCTAACCAAGCTTTATATCATATATATTTTGCTTTTGATCTTTATGACAATTAACTCCCATTTGCTTTAGGTGGGTCTCTTGTTTTTTGACCCCATCAAAGAATGTTGCCATGCTCTCCTACACAATACAAGCAAACCCTAATTCCCACAAAACTCATGTCCACAATTATTGTCTACATGTAGAGGATTTGGTAGACCAGAAATCAGATTTAGTTAATGGGTCTCAACACTCAACCACCCAACCAACCATATATCAAATCCCTTTCACTCAGCCAAACCACAGGCAAAGCAGTATGGGAAAACAGGTCAAAACCATTGGGACCCACACATTATTGATGGGTCTTGATGGCTTATGATCACACCGTTGGATGGTCCGAAAGATTTTCAAGCATGTGGACCACATGTACCACCTTGCATATGATCGGCACCCAAGTGGGCATGGTCCAGCTCCTTGTTGACCCAATCACTTTGGGAACCATGATTCAAAATTGAAAGCTTGCATCCAGGGCCAGGGGAGGTAAAAGCAGATGAAAATCAGACGGCTCAGGATGATTTCTTTTGCACGTGTTGAGGCTACAATGGCACGTGACATGGGATTTACGGGATATAAGTACCACGTGGCAGACAAGAGGTGGGGCCAGCACTCGAGTGTAAAGAAGCAAAGGACACTCTGACTCACTGTTTGGAAAACTTTTTTTCTCTTAAACCCCTTTGACAGGGACAGATTCGGCACTCAGATTTACGATGAAAACCAGTAGGGGACCCACAAAAGATTTCACCTGTAGGGGCTCACAGAGATTTCAATTCCGGTGGGCCCTTGGTCCCCTAACCTTTATTTATATCATGTCCCCGTCGATATTATTACAAAAGATTTATTCCATGCTCTTCTTGATATCGTTTTGAGGGTGGTCCCAATTCCCAAATCTTCGTTTTGTCCTTTAACTGCAATTCTATTTTTACAAAGGGTGGTGATCTGTAATTTGCATAAGTGCTAACCTCAATTTAAGAAAAATATTTACAAAAATGTTATGGAATTTGATGAAACAATTAAAGCTGAAAATAGTATTAACCAAAATGGGCCCTTGAAACAGAGCTCTAGTACAATTTCATAGCTGCAATATTCTAATCAGATAGATTATTGACGGAGGAAATGTCTTCAGTTTGACTTTTTTTTCTTTTCTTATTTCCTTTTTTTTAAGTTTTAGGTTTTTTTTGTCTTTGATGGAGGTAGATGTTTTGACCATTTAATTTGAATCTTAACATCTATCAGTGACCAAGGATCCATACAATACTTATCATTTTTTATTTTTTTATTTTATATGAATTAAAATGATGCCTTCCATCATCCCGAAGTATTAAATCTTTTAAAACATATTTATATCAGTGTATCCATATGTACTCAGAGGTGTATCGTATTGATTTTTTAATTCTTGATAGTAATAGGAGAAAAGAAAAAAGAAAATAAATAAAAGGAATACAACAAATACTCTAACAATTAAGTCTCTATTAGCTAACACTTATGGGAAAATAGGGTTTATAAATAGCTATTAGACATTAAGCTTTATCTATATATAGTTATCATAGTTTTAAGGTGCATATAGATATGCTCCCTCTCTCTCATACACACACATGAAAAATAAAAGGAAAAAAATTGGAAGCTTATTCTTATTCTATAGGATTTTAGTGTTCTTCCATCACTGAAGTTGAATTTTCTATTCCATTAGGCTACTTTGATAATTTCTCCATCTTGTTATGGTAAAAGAAGTATGTTAATAGATCAGTAAATAATGATAATGATGGACAAATCAGATGGTTAACATTAGGTATAGCAATGCATCTGCTTTAGAAGCCAAGGCCAATCCAAACCCTATCTTGCCCCTCTAAGGGGGACTAGCTTGAGAAATGGAGAAAACTTAGGAGAAAAGTAAAGTGCATTCTATAATTACTACTATATAAGAAAAGTAACCCACCTAGCTAGAATCAGAGTGAACCTCCATGAGTTTTAACCAAGAAAAAAAAACCATGAGTAATTGCTCAATTTTCCATTAATTACCCTAGCTATAGAATAAAACTTAGAAGTAGACAGAGATTAATTTCATAATGTTAATAGGTTATTCATCAAATAATTGTGAAACAGTCCTAAACACACACACACACACAACTGTGTTTGATCAGTTTCTTTTTACATATAATACAACACTTCAATTCCTACACTCAGTAAGGGTCATTGCTTGGTGCAATGCAGCAATGGTAAAACCTCAGTCTGACAATGATGAGAAGGTAGCTAGGTTAGACCTGTATCCAATCCACCCCTCTTTTTTAATTTTTTTTTTAAATGAATCCACCCCTCTTAAGACTCTATAAAGGACCAACACTTGAAATGAAAGCACCTCTTTTTTTCATCCCCCATTTCTCTCTAATATATACCATTTTTAGTTAATAATATCCTCTGATCATACTGATTTCTTCTGTGTGCCATTTATAAGTTGAAATGAAATTTGAGATATACATGCATGCCTTGGCATTAGGTCCACCTGGTCCGGATCAGTTGATCCGGTTCATCCGGTTTGAACCAAGTGTTTGCCTATCAAAAAAAAAAAAAAAAAAAAAACTATTGCTTATACTTTTGTCTAGATTGCTTCCAAATGATTTCTAATATTTTAAACCTAAAAACAATTATACTTTCGTCTAGATACTAAAAGTAAGTAGCTAAACATAATAGAACTAAGGTTGATTCATCACACAATTGGTTAGAATTAAATAAGAATTACTTTGCAATCTTATAATTTATAAAAGAAACCTTTATTTATATATGCTAATCGAATGGCAATTATATATACACACGAGAAAGGTGATGGGAGGTATCCTAGTAATTATTTAACTAAGATATCTGATTTCCTTTTTAATCAGTCCATAGAGGGGGGAGAGAGAGAGATATGAAGGGGACCCACTGAAACTAGAGAATCTAGAGGAGATCACAAGAAACTATGAAAGCAGAAACAATTCGAGAAGCACAGCATTGCTTCTCACCTACTCAAAAAAACTACGTGAGCAACAGCCCAAACCCATCGAGAGAACTCATCTCCTCCCACTAGCTATTAAAGAGCCTGCAAAGCTACCAGCACCAAGTTCAACTCTGAAGGTGTAAATGGATTTACAAGCGAAACTTGAAGAAACCCAACCAGACCAACACTTCCATGTCTTAGCAGTAGATGACAGTCTTATTGATAGAAAGCTCTTGGAGAAGCTCCTCACTGTCTCTTCCTATCAAGGTATAATATAATTCACAGAGAAAATATTACAGCAAAAACCCATCTGTTTTTTTCAAATTTTAGTACAATTCTGAGATGAAGCTTGCAGTTACTGATTATAATTCTGTATTTTAAGGAAAACTGATGAAGTAATTTGTTATTGTTGATCATGGGTTCTCTTTATTTTCCTTTTTCTCCCCCTTCCATCTTCTTTTGCTTTCATCATTTTTCCTTTTCATATTCTTTCTTTGTTGTTCCGCAGTAACTTGTGTGGAATCTGGCGATAAAGCTTTGGAGTATTTGGGTTTGCTTGATAATTTAAATAATGATTCTACATCTTCATCTTCTTCCTCACCTTCATCCTCGTCACAGCAAGAGGTGAGAATGCGAGCTCTAATTTAATGTCCATTTCTCATTTTCCTACTTTTCTGCCACAGTAGTCATGTATTCATCCATCTCTCTGTCTCTCTCTCTCTCTCTCTCTCTCTCTCGTTCTTTCTCTCTGAGACTCTCTTTCTTATTTTCCTCCCTAGCTTCTTTGTGCTTTCCTTTTTCTCTGCGTTTTTGTTCATGGGGTGCTTTGGAATTGGATTTTCTAAAATGGGATTAACTGTTTCCTTTACAGTGCTTTTCTGTATCATGATCTTTAATGATATCTTAAAATGGTCTTTCTGCAAAGATTAAGAATCAAAAGGCAATCACTTAACTAAAGTAAAAAAAAGAAAAAGATGGGGTGTTCTTTCTGTTTCTAAATTCTTCAGATGCCAACATTTTATGATTCTGCAAGCACTTTTTTTTTCTTCATTACATAATTGAACCTTTAAAGAGCAGGCTTTTGTTGAAAATTAATATAGAAAGAAATATATAGGAAGTGAGAGTATTCTTTATGCCATAAAATAATATTTGAACCTGATTCTTATCTGTATGAACAGTAATCCAACAACCAATTTCTCAATAACCCTTTATTTCTCTCTATTATTTTAAGCAATTTAAGTTTTTCAAGGACACATGACTACATATATAATCTATTTCTCCACTACTGTCTTATAGTCTCAATTTTTTTCAGTTTTAAATCACATGTCATCAGCTTTGTTCAGAGGTCTAGGTAGAGACCCTTGAACAATCCTAGGATGTCCTTACACATAATAATTTTAATGTATATTCCCTTTTATCAGAGCCAGGGAGTGAAGGTCAACTTGATCATGACAGACTACTGTATGCCTGGGATGACTGGCTATGATTTGCTCAAACGAGTCAAGGTCAGCCATCAACCTCCTCCTCACCTCTCTCTGTGTGCTCTTCTGGATCTTGTTACACTGCAACCCACAAATGTATTTGGATTTCTTCTGATATATTTTTTTTCCATGGGTTTTCTTCTCTCTTACGTGAGCAGAAATCTTCTTGGAAAGATGTACCAGTGGTTGTTATGTCATCGGAAAACGTGCCATCCAGAATCAATATGTAAGTCAAATCTGCCTTCTCCTCTACTTGTTTTACTAGTTGTTTGTTAATTAAGGTTGGTTTAGAAAAGAAAAAAATCCAAACCGCCATGAAATCCACTGGACCCAGAAAAGGATGGCTAACCATCCTCCTCCTGCTTCATACCAACAAGTCTAATGGTGCATGAACCACGCAACTCTTCTTAGTTGGGACATCTCTTTTCAGTCTCGCAGTGAATTATATTGATGGTCAATCTTAATTGAAGGCATAAATCTAAAGCAGAATTTCCATGAATGGAACTGGGGTGGTGGAAGCAGAGTGAGAAAAGGAAATAAAATGATCCCAAAACATCCAAATGAGGAGGCAGGAAACGTTCAATATATAAAGATAGAGAAGAATTGGTATTACTCATAGAAATTAAATGATAATTCCATCGAGGGAGGACAGCTGATTTCCAAGCGTTTCCCAGACGTTCTAAACTGCTTCCTTGTTTACTTTCCTAGTGTTTTTTCTAGTTTTCTTGAGTATTTTAGACTTCACACGAAACCATGTTTGTTGGAGATGGAAAATTTACTGAAGTTCCATAACATTAAGGAGAATTAATTTCAGTTTTTCGATGCATGCATGGATTGAACTAAATCAGAATCCTGATATTTGGGCTGGAAGGTTTTGGAAGAAATTTTTGAAAGAAAAAAGTCATAAATTTTTATTTTACAAATTAATACATGTTTTTCTAAGGATTTTAAGGGATAATAATGAGAAAAAACTACGTTTTTTAATAATTATATTGAAGAAATTAATAATATTTATAAATAAAGATAATATATTATATAAAAAAAAACATAGGTCCATAGTATTAATTTCATCCAAATTAACTAGAAAGAAAAAGTTGCTAGCAATTAAAAACCAGCCGTGCTATTATCTAAAATACCCATTTTGTGGAACATAATGATGATGCAGAAAAGGTGCGTTTTTTACGGATCAGATGAATTGTAGCCACTTGATTTATCCCCATCTCCATCACATTCAGTGGGACCCTTTGGCTGTCATTTGTCCAGAAAAACAAAAACAAAACATTAATGAATATGATGCTTAGAATCATGTCATCTAGTTGAATTTTCGATTCATGACCAGAGCTGTGAAGTAGGACCCATCAGATTGCAGGCCCCACCACTTTGTAAAGCTTGCATGTGCCACCATGTGAACTGCCATGGCTCCTTCTAATCTTGAAATATATGCACCCTTAGTCTCAGATGTCCTATTTTCAATTTCCTTTCATACATGTCCCTCTCCAAGTTATTGTGGACAAAAAGATTCGCAGCAGATCTTCCCCCTCCTCCATTTTGACTCAACATGATGCAAAGCTTGAAAAACATGGCTTCCTTCAGATTGACTACAGTGGCCTTCTTTTATTTTATTCACAGAAAGGAAAAGAAGCACAAGTCCTTCGATGCTTTTTTTAGGGTGTGTTTGGATGCATTAGCCTCTCTCTCTTTCTCTCTTTCCTAGCCAACAGAGACAAGACCCTACTGAGAGCTTTTGCAATTTGGCATTAAAGTGGGGATCCAATAACTAGGGTTACACTACACACACTGTCCAGAAATGGCACTATAGTGGCCTAGAAAAGTGTGAATGTGAACCCTCTATGTGATTATCAGAGACCCTCCTTGAATAAAAATAAATTACAGAGACTAATAACCTGACAGTACCAGGTTGGCCTTATTCTCTCTGAACAATTTTTGGAACAACATCTCTCTTTGAGTCTTGACTTGATTCCATGGCGCCCTTTTCCTGACTAGGTGTTTGGAAGGAGGAGCAGAGGAATTCCTGCTAAAGCCTGTTCGGTTATCGGATGTGAAGAAGCTTGAATCACACCTGTTGAAATCTCTGACTTTCAGCAGTGACACCGATCGTGGTGAAGACGACTGTAACATCATCATCAACAACAACAACGACGATGACAACAATAACAATGTCATCAACAAGAGGAAAGCTATGTCTCCTGAACCGTCAGAGAGAAGATCAGCCAAGTGGAAAAGCTTGACTGTGCTGTAAATTTGCAGAGGCTAAGGAGAGAAAGTGTTGCACTATTGAGCAATAGTTGCACAGACGTACAGACAA